TCTCTGCCAGAGTGTTGTAGTTTTTTTTTTGTTTGTTTTTTGTTTTTCCTATTTAGACACCATTCTCCACTAGAAAGAACCAGGGAACCAGGGCTCCTTGGAGAAATGGCTGATTCCAGGGCTGGGCAGGGGAAGTACAAGATGAGCCAGGAACATCTTGTGCCAGAAAATCAGGAAGTTCTCGAATTGTGGGGCTGAGCTGGAAGGAAATGGAGCCAGCTGGACAGAGCTCTCCTCTCCAAATCTGGGACAGTTGGAGCATCCAAATAAAACTGACAAGAAAGCATTTTAATCCACTGCATAAAATAAGATTCGTGAGTCCATGCCAATGTATATATGTGTATATATGCATGTGTGTGTACATCACAGATCAATGATATAATTGTATCATATGTGTATCTATATCTCATATATACATATAGATCTAGATATAGATTGTATATCTATGACATGATACAAGCATAAAATATGATATATATCAATTATGTAACATATACATACATATCAGCATACACACACATATGCACGTGTGCATTTGAATAAATAAATAAATAGACAAGGGAAACCTCCTCCTTACTGTACAATGCCAACGAGTAAATGTGGAAACAGTAGTGGACTTAGAAAGTTCACTTTGGCAACCATCAGAAAACACTTGTCTCAAGCAAGTATCATCAATAGAGGCAGAAACGAGCGGGTAAAGTTTTTATGGGGAATAGGCTATTTGCATAGTCTCAACATATCTCTCCAGAAGATAATCACTTCGTTTTTAAAAGACAGAAGCCAGGCACAGTGGCTCACGCCTGTAATCCCAGCTACTCAGGAGGCTGAGGGAGGAGAACCACTTGAACTCAGGAGGCAGAGGTTGCAGTGAGCCAAGATCATGCCACTGCACTCCAGCCTGAGTGACAGACGGAGACCCTGTCTAAAAAAAAAAAAAAAAAAGGTAAAGATAAACTAAGGAGCAATTCCAGATGCAAGGATACTAAAAAGACTCGAAAGCTTCCCGCACGGTGGCTCACGTCTGTAATCCCAGGGCTCTGGGAGGCCGAGGTGGAAGGATCAGTGGAGCTCAGGAGTTGAGATCAGCCTGAACGACATATCAAAACCCCACCTCTATAAAAAAATGAAACCAAAATTAGCCGGGCACGGTGGCACACACCTGTGGTCCCAGCTACTCCAGAGGCTGAGTGGGAGGATCGCTTGAGCTCAGGAGGTTGAGGCTGCAGTGAGCCCTGACAGCGCCGCTGCACTCCAGCCTGGGCACCACCAGATTAAGACCCTGTCTCAAAAACGAAAACCAACCAACCAACAAACAAATGCAAAACCAAAAAAACAAAAAGAAAACATGAAAACTGAGTGTACCTCACGACCTGAGGTTTTCTTTTGCCGTAAAGGCCATTACTGAGACAACTGGTAAAATCTGAACAGTCTATCAATTAGATGATATAGCGCACCAATGTCAATTTCCTGATTTAGAAAATTATATCATGGCCATGTGAGAGAATGTCCTCATTCTTAGGAAATATACACTCAAAGTATTGAAATAAAAGGAGTGTGATGCCTACAATTCTCTCAAATAATTTAGAAATGAGAGAGGAAGAAAATGAGCAATGCAGTCCAATACTACAATACTACGTGTGGGCATCTGAATGAAAGGTATATGGAAATTCTTTGTTCTTCTCACAACTTTTCTGCCAGTCTGAAATTACATCAAAATTAAAAAGTGAAGAAACAAACAGCTGGGGTGTGGTGGCTTGCACCTGTAATCCCAGCACTTTGAGGAGCTCGAGTCCAGAAGTTCGAGAGCAGCCTGGGCAACATGGCGAAACCCCACCTCCACAAAAAATATCAAAATCATCCAGGCGTGGAGGCATGCACCTGTGGTCCCAGCTACTCGGGCGGCTGAGGTGGGAGAATCGCTTGAGACCGGGAGGCAGAGATTGCAGCGAGCCTACATTCTTACGCCACTGCACTCCAGCCTGAGTGACAGAGCAAGACTCTGTCTCAAAACAAACAGACAAACCAGAAGTCAGTGTAGAAACTCGAAAGATGACATCAACCCATTTGTTCCCTCTGTTCGGCTGTGACCTCCGTTTCCTGGGGTAGAAGCCAGGACAGCAGTGGCTGAAGCAGTGAAGGCCTGGGGGACAGTTTGAGAGAAGACGACGCAGGGAATGCCAAGCACATTGGTCGAAATAACCATAATCAGAGCAGTAGCAACCTGCAGGCGGCAGGGCAAATGCCACGCGCAGAGGATGCTTCGGGCAGAGCTGGGAGGATTTCGAAAACTTCAGCCACTATTAACCAATCTTGCGGGTCTTCGCAATTGACCTGCACAATCTGAACTTACTCAACGTTTTAGAATCAACATTGTAAAAGCCTGGTATTTATCAAAGAGGAAAGCTATCCCCATCACACGTGGAAAAGGGCCGCACTAGAGAGCCTGGGAGGAAGGCAGCCGCATTCACTGCGTGCCCCCAGATTCCTCTGGGGCTTCGGCGCACTGAGGCACTCGGGCAGATGTGACCGTGCTTGGGTGGAAAGGGGCTGCCTTTGGACTGATGCCTGGGATGAAGCTGACTGTTATGAACTAAGCTTCCCCACCCCGAACGCATAGGGCTTTACTTATTTATTATTTTTGAGATGGAGTCTCACTGTATCACCTGGGCTGGAGTGTAGTGGCTCGATCTCGACTCACCGCAACCTCCACCTCCTGGGTTCAAGTGATTCTCCTGCCTCAGCTTCCTGAGTAGAATTACAGGCATGTGCCACTATCCCCAACTAGCTTTTGTATTTTTAGTAGAGATGGGGTTTCACCAGGCTGGTCTCGAACTCCTGACCTCAAGTGATCCGTCCACCTTGGCCTCCCAAAGTGCTGGGATTACAGACATGAACCTCTCACCGCACCTGGCCCATATGGCTTTGAAACGATTCCAGACACGTCCACAGGTTGCTATGTGAGTGGCGCGCTCTGCTGCACTAAGAACCCGTTGTCCTCTTCTTCCTTGGAGAACGTGACCTTGCTCCTTATCGCACCCTGTCTGCGAGCTCCTGACCCTCACGACTGCGCTTCCAAACACACATAGACATGCGAGTGTGACGGACCCTTGGGAGCTCTGGCTGCACCCTCCGCCCTTTTTCCCCAAGGCCAGAAGCTCCAGCTGTGACAGGTCATCCTGCCAACCTTGGAGCTACTGTCAGAAGCCTCTAGCCAACGCTGGCACTGCCTTCCAGGGACCAGGGACCTTATAGCGCTCCCAGGAACAGCTGGCAGAGGCTACACCTCACACTGAGGACTGTTCCCCTGCTAAGTGAGCAGCTAGACTTTCTGGAACTCATTCACTACGGGGTTCATGGACTTTGCCTGTTGAGTGTATTCTTTGTGAAGTTTGCTATCATTCTCTCCCTGTTTAAGCTCTGGGAACCTACAGGAAAAAAATCTTTTTGTAAGGCTGGGCCCAGTGGCTGACACTTGCAATCCCAGCACTTTGGGAGGAAAAGGCAGGTGGATCATCTGAGGTCAGGCATTTGAGACCAGCCTGACCAATATGATGAAACCCCATCTCTACTAAAAACATAAAAGTTAGCCAGGCATGGTGGTGGGCGCCTATAATCCCAGCTAGTTGGGAGGCTGAGACAGGGGAATATCTTGAACCTGGGCAGCAGAAGTTACAGTGAGCTGAGATTGAGGCATTGCACTTCAGCCTGGGTAAGAAGAGTGAAACGTCTCAAAAAAAAAAAAAAAAAAAAAAAAAAAAATCTTTGTGTAGCAATAAACTGTGTGATTTGTGAAATCATACTTAGATCATTTCCTTATTGTTACCACACAAAACAAGCCCTAACCCCCAAGATGACTGTATTTCGTGTGTGTGTCGGTGGGGGGGGGGGTGGAGGGCAGAGTCTTGCTCTGTTGCCCAAGCTGGAGTGCAGTGGTGCCATCTTGGCTCTCTGCAACTTCTGCCTCCTGGGCTAAGTGATTCTCCTGCCTCAGCCTCCCAAGTAGCTGGGACTATAGATGTGCACCACCACGCCCAGCTAATTTTTGTATTTTTTTTGTAGAGATAAGGTTTCCCCATGTTGCCCAGACTGCTCTCAAACTTGTGGACTCAAGTAGTCCTCCTGCCTCAGCCTCTCAAAGTGCTGGGATTACAGGCATGGGGCAGCCTATATATTTCAAGGTAGGGCCTTTAAGGAGGTAATTGAGGTTAAATGAGTCCTAAGGTTGGGGCCCTGACCCAATATGACCGGAGTCCTTGAGAGGGAGAGAGAGAGGCACCAGGAGTGTATGTGCCCAGAGGAAAGGCCGCATGAGGAGGCAGCCACCTGCAAACCAGAAAGCGGCTGCAGAGGGGACCAACCCTGCTGGCACCCTTGTCCTGGACTTGTGGCCTCTGGAACTGTGAGGAAGACATGTCTGCGGGTTAAGTCACCCAGGCTATGGTAGGGCATAGGTAGGGCAGCCAGAGCTTAGACAGTGGCAGAATGGCCTTCAGCCCGCCACCACTCAGAGTATGATCTGGTAACTGGCATCACCAAACCTTGTGAGAGACTCACAGCCAGGGACTGTGACACTGCTGATGCTCCCCACCCCCCCGCAGGACACGGGTCATATCGGGTCAGGGCTGCACCCTTAGGACCCCTTTAACCTGAATTAACCTGAATTACCTTCCTAAAGGCCCTACCTTGAAATACACAGGCTGGCTCACGCCTCTAATCCCAGCACTTTGGGAGACCAAGTCAGGAGGGCCACTTGAGCCCACAGGTTTGAGAGCAGTCTGGACAACACCGGGAAACCTTATCTCTACAAAAAATACTCAAATAGCCAGGCGTGGTGGCGCATGCCTGTAGTCCCAGCTAACCTGAAGGTGCATTTTGGCAGGCTCCTCCCTCCTCCCCGCGGATGGGGTGGAGGGCTCCGGCAGGCCCCGGCTGTCCGCACCTCTGCGTACGTGACACAGCCTCGTGGAGGCAGCGAACACAAAACAGTCCAGAGCCTGAGGGAAGGTTTTAAATGTTTTATTTCACAAATTGTTCAGATTTGTTCATAAAAGACATGTTAGAGACGTGTTAGAAACCAAAGCAGCTCTACTGAAATATCTGCAACACGGCCCCTGTTCACGCAAAGCACAAAACACATTTACAACGAAACTTTGTACACAGGAAGTAGCAAAATACATCATTTTTCATAGAAAAAAGCGCACACACAAACTGCGGGCTGAGTAAGCCTACAGACAAAGTGAGACGCCAGCACACGCTCTGTAACAAGGCTGCGCGAAACTCCGACAGAAGCTGAAATGTCCCTTCTGGGGCAGGAGAGCCAGGAACGCCGCTGGCATGCTGCGAGACCTTTTTAAACATGGGGTAGGTGCGATATGGCATGAGGGGCTCTGCTTCACACAGGAGACGTGGTGCTGCGGACACGGCTTATAATTTGTAGTCCCGCTTCCCTTTTCTGAAGACAAATGTTCCAGTTTCAAAATGTTTGTGAGGATGATAAAGACAGCCAGGTCCATGGCAGGGCACGGTGGCTCATGCCTGTAATCCCAGCACGTTGGGAGGCTGAGGCAGGTGGGTCAGCTGAGGTCAGGAGTTGGAGACCAGCCTGGCCAACATGGCAAAACCCCATCTCTACTAAAAATAGAAAAATCAGCTGGGCATGGTGGCTTACACCTGTAGTCCCAGTTACGTGGGAGGCTGAGGCGGGAGAATGGCTTGCACCCGGGAGGCAGAGGTTGTGGTGAGCTGAGATCACACCACTGCACTCCAGCCTGGGCAACGGAATGAGACTTGGTTTCAAAAAAAAAAAAAAAAAAAGACAGCCAGGTCCCGCTCTGGGCAAGGACCTCCTATCCTGCCAGCCTCCTGGCAGTGAAGGAGGCATTACAGAACCTGGGGCCTTTACTTTTAAATGATGGAACCAACTCACACTGGAAATTCCGACTCTCCCTGGGGTGAGATGCTTCAGAAGTGAGCCCACTGGGGTTGTCCTGGTCTCTTCACTGATTCTGCAAACCCCACAGGGCAATCTGATTTACCTTGAAAACACGGCCACAGCCACTGAAGTCTGGCAGCACCCAGAAGGTTCCCAGATGTTTGCCGGTAACTGGACACACGACCTGACAGGCTGACCGAATTCCTCTCTGACATGTGGGGCTGAAGAGTCAGTACCTATGAATTACGACCACCCTACGACGCACAAGCACAGACACCATCCTGCGAAGTTTAGCTTGGTCAGGCTAAGAGCTGAGCTGCTTTTCACCAAACTCCTGAAGAGGTGTTTTTCTTTGTTTGTTTTTTGTTTCTTTTTTTAAAGCTATTTACCTTCAGATTCTGCATTTGTTAGGAAGGCATTCAAAGAAAGAAGGCGTCCCCTGAGTCCCAGGTAGAGCTTCCTGTTCAGCCTACGGTATCTTAGTCTTTTGTTTTCTGCTAGTTCTTTTGTCTAAGAAATATTTTGAATCAAGTTTGAAACTAGCATTCGCCAAGTGATCTATTGGCTGGCCTGGCGGTAGAGAGTAGAATTTTCACCTTCTGCAAAGAAATGCTATTTACAAAAGGATATTTTTCACTGCGGGCTTTTGGTCTGGGTTCGGTTTTATAGAGTGAGGGAGCCAGGGCTACTACAGAAGCCCTCGGGAGCATTTGGCAGGAGTCCGTTCACAAAAACAGGAAGAGAGAGCCTTCTAGTGTACCCCCATCTCTCGCTGTCATGAGGCCGCAGGACGGTTTCTTAACCACAAACTGAGCTGCTAACTTTGGTGAGGAATGTACCAACGACTCCATTCCTCCCATGACTGAAAAAGCAGGTCACTGGGTGTGCAGGGAATCTGCACACTTAGTTGTCATTTTTAAAAAGCAGCGAAGAGCAGCCCTTCTTTGGTTATCCTCAGATATCTCAGTGGAGCCTGATGAGACCTGGAGTTAAGAAGTGGGCTTCAAACAGGATGGCCTGTAAAGCTAAGTCCTGGGCGCGAACCAGGACATGTAAGCCAGTCTGAGGCAGGGCAGGAGCCACAATGGGTAGGGGGTAAAGAAAGGGGCCTGGCCGGGCGCAGTAGCTCACGCCTGTAATCCCAACACTTTGGGAGGCTGAGCTGGGCAGATCACCTGAGGTCGGGTGTTCAAGACCAGCCTGACCAACAAGGAGAAACCCCGTCTCTACTAAAAACACAAAAAATTAGCCAGGCATGGTGGTGCATGCCTGTAATCTCAGCTACTCAGGAGGCTGAGGCAGGAGAATCACTTGAACAGGGAGGCGGAGGTTGCCGTGAGCCAAGACAGTGCCATTGCACTGCAGCCTGGGCAATAAGAGCACGACTAGGCCTAGGAAAAAAAAGAAAGAAAGGGTCCTAATTTCCTAATTTTTAGTCCTCAATGGGACCAAAGGTCATGGCAGAAACGGGGGGGGGGCACAAAGACAAGGGGCCTGACAAAGACAAGATACTTCGCTTGAAGTTACTGCTGAACTCTACAGAAACCAGCACTGCTGTGTATAAAGCCGGCCTGCATACGGCCACTGAATGGCACCCGTGGCAGGTCACCAGCAAGGACATGTGCCAGGGCGGAGCTGGGATCTCTCACACTCCCAGCCCTGTTGTTCCAGCCCATTTGTCTGTCTGACCAGCAAACATTAAAATCATTTTCCTCTGTTGGTAGGGACGGACTGTGTTTTTTATTTTTAAATAACTACCTTCTACTTCATTCCTGAAACTCAATGGAAGTTCCTTGAAAGGCCTCTTTTGACACTGTGAATGCTTCACAATGGTGAGCTCCAGAAGGTTTGGTCTCTTTGCAGGGGATGGGGGGGTTAAAATCAACTTTCCCCACCAACGGAAGAACACATAGCAAGTCATATTTTGGCAACTGTCCCCTTTAAACGACAGGTCAGGTGTCTAAAGGAGAGAGGGCACCCAGACGGAGACCCCTGGGCCACAGCAGGATTGGGCACCAGGGGTCCAGCTGAGCACCCCGGGATGCTGCTGCTTTAGTGGGGGGATGAGATGTCACCTCACCAAAAGGCCACGGATGGACACTGAACACCGGTCAAAGGGAGTTTCCTGACTCTCCATATAACCCTCCCCGCAATGACAAAATAAAAGTAAAAGCGAAACCCCAAAGCCCTCTTGAAGATGCCGCTTCTCCTGTGCTGGAAATTCACTGCCTCACAGCAAAGATCCGGAAGGCTTTTTCATTTCGAGGGGTCTTCAGGCTGACAAAGAAGAGAGAGAGCCCATTACTGAGAGATCCGGAGGGCCTCCTGCAGGGACTCTGGCTGGGCAGGGAGACCTGGGTGGCCCCTGCTCATTCCCATAGTGGAGGAGCCATGGCCAAGGGACACTGCCCCACAGCCACCAGAAACAGAGCACGGCTTGAGTTGAGAACAGCTGGCAAATCCCATTTTCTTTGCAAACGAGCAACCGTCTGATTCTAGGTCAGAGCATCTGTCTGATTGCAGGTCATTTCCTTTTCTCAGGGATTTGCTGGCCCCAGTCTGTCTGGACTGGACTCACCCTCCCAGACTTCTGCCTGGTTTCACTCCCACCTGTTGACCCCAACACTGGTGTCTGGGGCAGATTAGCAGCTGCTATCTCAGCATTACTGCATAAGCCAGCTGCCTTCACTGCCTCCCGCCTTCCTCCTGAGGGAGGTGTTATTCCTTCTTCACAGTAAACGGAGACGCCAGGAAATCAAGTCACTTACCAGGGACCCACAGCTACTGAAAACTGCCCTCTCACAAGAGGAGTTAAATCCTTTAGCTAACCAAAGATGGATTTTTAAAAAAAGCTCTATTGGTCAGGTGTGGTGGCTCATGCCTGTAATTCCAACTTTGGGAGGCCAAGGCAGGTGGATCATTTGAGGTCTGGAGTTTGAGAGCAGCCTGGTCAACATGGCAAAACCCTGTCTCTCCAAAAAATTAACCAGGTATGATGGTGCATACCTCCAATCCCAGCGACTTGCAGGCTGAGGCAAGAGAATCACCTGAACCCGGGAGTTGGAGTTTGCAGTGAGCCGAGATCGTGCCATTGTACTCCCACCTGGACAACAGAGTGAGACTCTGTTTCCAAAACAACGACAAAAAAAAAAGCAAAAACAAACCAGCTTTATTAACTATAACATACCATGGAAATTCATCTTTTCTAAGTGTACAATTTAATGGCTTTTAGAGATTTTATAGGGTTATGCAGTCACCTCCACAAACCAGTGTTAGATAATTTTTAAAAATGATTTTAGACACAAGGTCTCTCTGTCACCCAGGCCTGAGTGCAGTGACACGATCATGGTTCACGTCAGCCTTAACCTTCTGGGCTCAAGCGATCCTCCCTCCTCAGCCTCCCAAAGTGCTGGGATTACGGGTGTTGCCTAATGGTGTCTTTAAAGCACAAAAGTTTTAAATAGAATTCAATTTATCCATTTGTTTTCATTGCTAGATTGAGCTTTTGGCATCGTATTTAACAAACCATTGCTTAACTCAAGGCCATGAAGGATTTATACTTGTTTTCTTCTAAGACTTCTGTAACTTTTAGCTCTTATACTTTAGCCTTTGATCTATTTTTGAGTTAATTTTTTATGTATGGTATGAGGCGAAGTCTAACATCACAGTTTTACATGTATACATCTAATTCCCTTTGCACTACTTGTTGAGAAACTATTATTTGCCCACTGAATGGTCTTGGCACTCTTATAGAAACTGATGGACTGGAAGTGTGATGGTTTACTTCTGGACTTCCAATCATGTTGTCTTTCTTTTTTCTTTTTGAGACAGAGTCTCACTCTGCCACCCAGGCTAGAGTACAACAGTGCGATCTCAGCTCACTGCAACCCCTGCCTCCCAGGTTCCAGCGATTCTCCTGCTGGGCGTGGTGGCAGGTGCCTGTAATCCCAGCTACTTGGGAGGCTGAGGCAGGAGAATTGCTTGAACCTGGAAGGTGGATGTTGCAGTGAGCCGAGATCGCACCACTGCACTCCAGCCTGGGCGACAGAGCGAGACATTGTCGCAAAAAAAGAAGAAATGGGCCAGTTTGCCAAAAAATAGGAGACATACAGCAGCAACAACCAATCAAAAGGGCCGCAGTCCCTCTGGGCCAGGATAGTGTGCTCCCCACGTTTAATCCTACAAGGAAAGTAACTGAGGTGACCCATTGGAATGTTACTGTTTCTACTCTCTGCAGCCTTTTGCTGACTCATGGGAGCACCTTTCTATTCTGTAGATGGGATGTTGCCTGATACACAAATTGCTAATAAAAGCCGATCAGATCTTGCAAACTCACATTTGTAGGAATTTTGTTCTAAAAGGCAGCATGGTACCTTCTAGACCCCAAAGTACCGTTTACAAAGTGCAAAAAGGGCCGGGCACAGTGGCTGACCCCTGTAATCCCAGCACTTTGAGAGGCTGAGGTGGGGAGATCACTTGAGATCAGGAGTTCAAGATCAGCCTGGTTAACATGGTGAAACCCCGTCTCTACTAAAAATACAAAGAAAAAATTAGCCGGGTGTGGTGGCAGCTTCCTTCAATCCCAGTTTCTTGGAAGGCTGAGGCAGGAGAATCATTTGAACCCAGGAGGTGGAGATTGCAATCAGCCAGGATCATGCCATTGTACCCCAGCCTGGGCAACACAGTGAGACATCCTGTCAAAAAAAAAAAAAATCGCAACCAGGAGTGTTCTTTCCACATCAACATTCCATGGAAAAGACTGATCTAGCATCCATTTGCCAAAGACAGTTTGGTTAAAACGAAAAAAAACAAAACAAAAACGAAGACTGATCATAGCTGCACATTTTATATACACCAATGGTTTCAAATACACCATTCTTGCATATTATTCTAGATTTTAAAGGCAAAAAACACTCGCCCTCTCAAGCCTGTCTTTCTGCACCAAGTTCTCCTCCCCAAAGGCATCTTGTACAGATGCAAACAATTAGCATATTTTTCCCTCACCCATTTTTTTCACACAAATATTATACATGTACTACCAACGACATACCACTCTGCACTCTGCTTTTTTAGCTTAATAATGTATCTTGGGATTTGCTGCTTTTCTATACAGAAATAACTCATTCCTTTTATCAGCTGGGTCCCTATTGGTGGACATTTAGTTCTAATTTTTTTTTTTTAGTATAGTGATGCCATCACAACTCACTGCAGCCTCAACCTCCTGGTCTCAAGTGATCCTCCCACCTCAGTCTCCTGAGTAGCTGGGACCACAGGTGCATACCACCATGCTGGGTTAATTTATATATATATATATACATACATACACACACACTATACATATATATAGATTTAATCTTTTTCTAATTTTTATATTTTTTAGAGATGGGATTTCACCATGTTGCCCAGCTGGTCTTCAATGCCTGGGCTCAAGCGATCCTCCCGCCTCGGCCTCCCAGAGTGGATTACAGGCACGAGCCACTGAGCCCGTGTTTTCTAACTTTTTGCCTTTGTTAACAATGTCACTGTTGCCCATGGGACTTCCTGTGTCTGTGTGAGAGTATCTGAGAGTGAGCTTCTAAGAGTGGGATTGCCGGACCAAAGGACATGCATTTGCATGGTGACAGCGGCCAACCTGCCCTGCATGAAGATAACACCAGCCGGCTCCCGAGACAGTGACAACAGGGCTGTGTGACGCCCACTACCCCCCCACCCAGCACCTCGCGAAGTGTCGCTTTTGGTTCGTGACCAATGGAAGGTAAGGAGTGGCATCCAGGTATCATTTTAGTTTGCATTTTGCTCATGATGAAGGAGTTTGAGCATAAGATTTACAGCCAAGTTATGATTTACCAGCAGCATTTCCTTCAGGAGCCCCACTCCAAACAGAGTCCCCAGGCCAGGCGCGGTGGCTCATGCCTGTAATTCCAGCACTTTGGGAGGCCGAGGTGGGTGGATCAGGAGGTCAGAAGTTCGAGACCACCCTGGCCAAAATGGTGAAACCCCGTCTCTACCAAAAATACAAAAAATTAGCTGAGTGTGGTGGCACACACCTGTATGCCCCAGCTACTTGGGAGACTGAGGCAGGAGAATCGCTTGAACCTGGGAGGCAGAGGTTGCAGTGAGCCAAGACCATGCCACTGCACTCCAGCCAGGACAATAGAGTGAGACTCCATCTCAAAAAAAAAAAAAAAAAGAGAGCCCCCAGACTGGAAATGCCAGACTCGCCAGGTGACCCCGGCCCTCTCAGACTCGCCAGGTGACCCCAGCCCTCTCACACTGCTCAGTCAGATCTGCAGTCCTCCAAGAGCAGGCTGCTTGGAATGTCTGGTTGTTTTTCAGCCTTTCTCCATGGCAGCTTCATGCTTTTGCCTACCCTGGGATTGAACTTTTGAAACGTGTATCAGATGGGAGCACTCGGAGAGACGGAGCTGTGAGGAAATGCCAAGAGCCAAGGCTCGGGCAGAATGCTCGGCCACAGGTGGCTCCGGACCAGGAGGAGGAGACAGTGCAGCCACCCAGAGGCAGGGGTGACCCTGGCAGCCCCGCTGGTTTCTGGAAAGCTCAGATCCCAGGGCCCTCTTCAGGCCTTGGGGGATGTAAGATTTCACTGGATGCTCTGCCCAAATCCTGGGAGGACCAACCAGGACCACAAGGTACTTGGTTATTCCGCATGGGGGGCCAGCCACGTGGGGAAGATTGCCAGGGGTCTGTGACCTTCTTGACTAACTATGGGTCTAAAGAGTCTACGGATGGCGCAGTGGTTCTCATGTTCTCAGGGTCTGAACAATCCAGGGACAAGGGAGCCATTCAGGCTACTGTCCAGATGTGGACACTGCCAGCCCAAGGTCTTGCCTGCACAACCTGGGTGTCAACGCACCCCCTTTAAACAACCTGCCCACCTTGGAAGTAAGAGCAGGCACCACCGAGCTTGGCAAGTAATTCCTAACATATCAAAGAGTGTGCTAACACCAACCCAGGGTGCCACCGGGCAACTGGCACTGGCAAATATTGGTGCCATCCACTGCCGCAGGTAAGAATCCCACAGGTTTGGGCTGCCAAGAAAAATTCCCCACGTTCAGGTGGGTCCCCAGTTGTTCACGCCTCAAGCGGTTTTTTTTTTTTTTTTTTTTTTGAGATGGAGTTTCGCTCTTGTTACCCAGCTGGAGTGCAATGGCTTGATTTCGGCTCACAACAACCTCCGCCTCCCAGGTTCAAGTGATTCTCTTGCCTCAGCCTCCTGAGTAGCTGGGATTACAGGAGTGCGCCACTATGCCCGGCTA